GCTCAAGTGCAATAACCATTTGGATTTTTGGGGGGGGGGGTTGTTTGTTTGTTTGTTTGTTTTTACCTTGGATGTCAACTACAAATTCACTCGAACACTGAGTTTAGCATTCTTCTTCGGAAAAAGTCATAAAAATGTTTCCATACATATACAGGGAGGGGGAGATACACACATAAAAAACCTAAGTTAAGCTTCGAGAGTATGATTGTTACATTTATTCCCAATTCCAGTCAGCAGAAAGAAAGATACAAATTTCACCTAACACGCTATTCAGCAATTACTATAACTAGATCTTGATTTATATCTGTATTTGTTCAGGACCTTCCCAGTATGTTCCTGTTAAGTTACTAGGCTCAAAAAAAGCTAATAAGATGACTACTACATTCAATCTCTTTGGACTATTTCTAGGAGAAACATAAACTGTATTTATCTTGAGTTTATATGATTCAGCAGTTATGACAGTGCTCCTAAATGATAGAATTAGTTTTGTATGTTATGCCTAACAGTCATCTTTTAACTTAACATCAGTCATTGTTACAGCTCATTTTTGAGAATGTCAAGAAAGCATTCTGTTCAAAACTCTCAACTGTTCAAAAAAAATCTCAGAAGCAGTTTACTATTTTCACAGGACACTTTCTAGAAGAAAGTTGTAAGAACTTCTCACTGGGTGAAAAACACCGCTTTCTGTAGTACCTTGGCAGCCAAATAATATGACTGCCTTCATTAAAACATTGTTGATAAAACCTCTCCCTCTCACCGCAGTTTGGAAACACAGGCTCACACTGACTGAAGGTCCTTCCCTCAGAGCTCTGTGCTTCAATCACACTGGAAATGCAGGTGTTGACCAGAGAGCTTCAGCAGAGCTACATTTGATGTAAAGTTCCTTCCAGCACTGACAAGACTCTGATCCCATCTCTTTATAATTAAAACTTAAAGGCAAGTACACACCCCATTGACTACACAACTGCTCCCAGTGAACTACAAAATCATTCACTCAACTAAAAAATCATTTATGTTTGCAATATTATTATCAGAAACAGCCCGAGCAATAAACATTAAGCAACTTTCCAAATACTTTCCACAGTTAAAAACAGTTCTAAGCCTGCAAGGTCAACTGATAACAAGATTGCTTTAAATTGTCGAGTACTGCATTCTTGGAAAGTAGTACTTCAGTTTTACTTACGCATTTGCTATACACCCTGAGTGGAGGCTTAAAGCACAAACAACAACAAAAAAATCCTTTCAGAGGCGGCACGTACAAGGAAAAGGCAATCATTACAGACTGTATATAAATACCAAGGTTGTACACAAATACCAAGTTCACTCTCCCAAGTGGATTATTCCAATAGTTCCAACAGATGGAGGAAACATGACTGCCCCATTTCTCTAAAGGGACTACAATGCATTCTCCTCTTTCCGCATAAAACACTTGAAACTACAGGCAAGTAAGTGTTCAGTTCTTTTGGCAGCCTTCTAAACATTTGATTTTTAACATATTAAAGGTTTCTTCATGTGATCGGAAGCTGTCCATTTTCTTCCTTATTATCTGCTAGGTTTAAGGACAAGTTACTCAGTATTTTCAAAACTGGAAGGCAGCAATCAATGCTGATCTAGCACCCACCTATGTGGCATTCACACAATTTCTATCTCCAGAAGAAACCATTAACAGGATTTCAAAAGCAACACTGACACAAAACATGAGGGCAAACATCATCAAAAGAACCACATCATTAATGTTCCTGAAAACAAAGCTGCTGCATACTCCATACCTCTCATATTACATCTAATCTAGTGCAATTCTAGGTTCCCATCTCTTTTCCACTATCATGTTCCCACTCTTATTTCTATGTGAAATCTAATGATCAAGCAGCTATGGGATGTGCTAGGTTAGCTCTTAGAACTGCAGTGCTGAACTACAAGCATTTCTCCTGAACTCAGCTGCTTCTTCTACCTGTCCCAGGTTTTCCAGATTTGAACACTTTATAATATTAATAATATTAATTTTATATTTACAGTTTTCTCTTCAGTAAGTATTTTTTTTTTTTAAATCCTGGGCCCAGATATACTCACTCATGTAACGGAAGGGCTCCTCATCATGAACTGGAGAAGTGATTTCAGGAAGATGGCCATGGCAGGCAGGGGACCGAATCCAGTCTTGATTTTCATACAGATACAGAGAGTCCACTCGTAACTTGTAATCTGGCAACTGTTCTTCTAGCATGCTCACTAGCTCCACCTCAGGAAGGTCCTCACTGGAGCAGACATCTGAAAGTGAGTAAATGCCAGTAACAGTACATTACTATTAAATATGACACATATTTAATATTGCTACAGTAGTATACATTCTATAGGCTATAAAATACTTTAATAACCTTCAGTAGATTTGAAAAGCATGATTCTGTACTGGACAAATTACCACTATACTTATTGAATCAGTATTTGATTCACATTGTAGTATTTGTAAGTTTCTCATCCCCAGCTGACTCCACAACCTCCTGCAAAGGTGCTCTAGCCACGATTCTCTCATACTTCTTAAATATGATCACAGAATCATTAAGGTTGGAAAAGACCTTTAAGATCAGCAAGTCCAACCATCAACCCAACACTACCATGTCCACTAAACCATGTCCCGAAGTGCCACGTCCACATGTTTTTTGAATACTTCCAGTGAGGGTGACTCCACCACCTCCCTGGGCAGCCTGTGCCAATGCTTGACCACTCTCTCAGTAAAGAAATTTCTCCTAATATTAAGATTAAAACCTCCCCAGCACAACTCAAGGCCATTTCTTCTCGTCCTATCACTACCTGTTGGCCTTCTTGGCCACGTGGGCACACTGCTGGCTCATGTTCAGCCGGCTGTCAACGAGCACCCCCAAGTATGATGTATGTAATGAGTTTCAATTTCTATCTTTTCCTGTTCATTGAACTAAAACACAGACTTATATTTTACCAGCTATTGATTTCATAAGGTTTCATTGGCTTTAGCATAGTTACATTTCCCTTTTCTAAAGGAAATTCACATTTTTCTTGTTATTCTGTTTATCCTTTTGTTTGGTAACAAACATAGATGTAAATAACCTTAACGTAACTACAAAAATTAACTGAATACTGCCTTGCAATCAGGGAATGAATATAAAATTCCATTATCATCCATACAGAATCACACTGAGAAACATGGTACTCAAAATCCTGGAAAGGAAGTTTAGCTCCTCCTGTGTCGTCGTCCCCCTTAATCTCTTCACAATTATTATTGAAAAAAAAAAAAAAGAAACATTAATTCTAAGTTGCTAAAATACTGCATATCTGTCCTGGTTTCAGCTGGGATAGAGTTAATTTTCTTCCTAGTAGCTGCTATAGTGCTGTGTTCTGTATTTAGTATGAGAATAATGTTGGTAACACACTGACGTTTTAGTTGTTGCTAAGTAGTGTTTATACTTAGTCAAGGACTTTTCAGCTTCCCACGCTCTGCCAGTGAGGAGGTGCACAAGAAGCTGGGAGGGGCCACAGCCAGGCCAGCTGACCCAAACTGTCCAAAGGGATATTCCATACCGTATAACATCATGCTTAGTATATAAACTGAGGGGAGCTGGTCGAGGGGTGGTGACTGCAGCTCGGGAACTGGCTGGGCATCGGTCAGCAGGTGGTGAGCAATTGTATTGTACATCACTTATTTTGGTTTTATTATCATCATCATCTCTTCCCTTGCTGTCCTATTAAACTGTTTTTATCTCAACCCACAAATTTACCTTTTTTTTTTAATTATTATTTTTTTATTTTTTTTTTATTCTCCTCCCTATCCCACTGCGGATGGGGGAGGAGTGAGCAAGCAGCTGCGTGGTGCTTAGATGCTGGCTGGGGTTAAACCATGACAATATCAAAGGTATACGATGATTACCTTTCCAACATTTCCATTAAAGATGAAGACTATCTTCAATATCTTTCCATGGAAAAACGCCAATGTTGATTACTGACATGGAGAATTTTACAAACAACATTTTACAATGGAAGCTGATTTTACAAGCTAGTTAAGAGGACTCACCATTTTTGTTCATTTGTAATATCAGATAAGCAATACAAAGAATGTGAAACTTAAGGCTGTCTTCAGGTTGGTGTTCTGTAACATTAGATACATTCAGGATTTGTAACAGTTAATTCTTCAACTTACCAGAGATGCTCTCCAAGCCCCTGTGATCAAAATTCATGAGTCCTTTCTTCACAGTTCACTTCTTTGAAAATAGCATTCTGTAGTCAGATTGTGCACCATCCCTTTTATTGCTTTCGTAGAAAGATGGCTTTGGTTTAGTGACAGAGTGAGAGCCATCAAGACAGTAACAAATCTGGCATCAACTCACTTCCAGATCTATTGCCATCTTATGACATACTTATTTCGTCTGGGCTACTACTGATCAGTAGAAGTATCTATAGGATATTTCATGTAAGCTTCATGAGCTTCTCAGCTCAGCCATTACCTAGAAATGAAACAAAGAGAATGCGAAAGTTTAACAGATGTCACTTTTTCAAACAAGACAGGTAAATTAATGTGATTTCATCTCTGAGCTTCCTCCCTGTACTATAATAAAAAAAAAAGTAAGCATTTTACTCCCCAGTTCACATATTACATGTAAAATGTAGAATTAAAAATATGTCTTTTCCCTGCAGACATAAAGTCAATGCTGAAGGCAAGGTGTTATCAATTATCTATTTGTCTCTACCATTCCTCCTCTTCCATATAATATTTAGTGTATCACAGGTTCATTTTTTTCATTCACTGAAATAAAGTATTTCCCTTTAAAGGACAGCAGCTCCCACTAAACAGAAATTTTCTTCAGGCTGCTACATTTACTTAAAGCGATGGATTCTAAAGGCAGATTTTCAAAACCATCATTCTTAGCATTTTGATTGTTAAAAAAAAAGTTTTATAGGACTGTTTGCTTTAATCTCTTCTCCTTTAGAAGTCTGTTAATTAAAAACTGGATCTATCAGAAATTTACTGTGTAAATCATGACAAAATTTGTGTTTCCTCTTCAGCAGGGACTCATTTAAACCAGAAATGAAACTACCATGACTAATTGAGATAACCTATCAGAACAGTTTAATAAAGCAGAAATTCCGCTGTTGCCTTGCCAAGACCGATCAGTCATCCTCCATGTAAAATACAAGAGTAGTCCTAGATGACATAAAAATATAAAATGAAAGAGAACAAAGTCTCGTTTTCCCTCCTCCTACATTCAGTAAACACAAAAGTCTCTTTAAATCTTACATTAATTTCAAATTTGCTCTTAACAGTTTCCCTAAGATCTCCCATCACCAAGCACAACAATCACGGGCTTGTCTCACTGACTGTAGCAACCTCCCATTTGACAAGATCAAAATGGACAGTGCAGGAGCGTTTTAAAGAAAGCCTAGTGCCTGCTAGGCTAGTTCATCTACTTATAGACTTTGGCAAGAGATCAAAAAAGAACTTCCTTCAGTTAAGGTCAGCTCATACTTGAGAGCAATATCTTCTTGCTTTGTCATTTATTTCTTTATCTATGTACCTTATTTACCAGTTTTAATAATTATCTGTATTAGAAACTTATTAAAAACAATAAGACTGAGATTTCAGAAACATTTGCTATCTGAATGTATAGCTGCTTCTAACACTAGTTTGTGATTTTTTTCAAGAGGCTGTTTTTTAAATGGATTGCTGAAAAGCATTAACTACACACACACACAAATCTAAAACAACTCCATACAGCAGAAGATGACATTTAAGAAGAATGCTATAGATCTCCACAGCCAACATGATTTTATCTTGTAATAAAATGAGTCACTGTAGAGTGAGACAAAATTCAACGGCAGAGGACAGTTTCTTCACAACTCTGAATCTTTTTCCTTTGCATTTTAGTAATATAAAAATAAATGCTACCTCCTCTCAAGATTGGATTTAATCTCTCTTCTAGGCAGTGCAAAGCAGAGACACTATTTGTTGCAGGTCAATCTCAGTTCAGCCAAAGAGGGGGGGAAAAAGGACAAAGAAAAAAAAATTTGGCTCAAAGTTTTCTAGAGCATCAGGCCAACATCAAGATATTGAATTGAAAGGCAACCTCATTTGTAAAACCTTTAAGAAGTTTGCTAGATAAGCAAACACCATAAAAGTTAATGCTCACATTTCCAATGCTTCTCATAACTTTAGTGTGCCATGGGGCAACTTCTCTGGAAACTCAAGCAGTAAATGCACTGTGCAGTACCACCCTGAAAGCGACTCCATGACCCTTTTACTTTGCAGCTATAAAACTATTTACTTAGTGCAGATTCCTTCTGCAAGTTACAACTATAAATATATTTGGATAAAACCCATAAAATTTACAACATGGCTTTAAAATAAGTGACCATGCTATAAAAAGATGGCCTAGACATTAAAATTACTAAATCACGCAGAAAGACATGTCCAAAACAGAAGCCAGAAAACTTTCTCAGGTATTATTTTTAATCTTTATTTATAAAGATTATTTCCACTGTCAATTTACTATATTCACTCCACACAGATGTACTTCTTATCAGTTTTGTCCCCCTACTCCCTCATATGCCAATTTCCCATTGATGTTTTAGTCTTTTACAAATAAGTTAACTGAACATGGAAAAAAGAAGGAGAATTCAAATACTGGAGAATGGCCTATATGCAGGAGTAGTGCCCTCAGAAGGCTTTCTTCAAAGAAGGCTGAAGAAAAATGGAAATATCAGACAACATTTTATATACATACATACATACATATCTATCTCAGTCTGTGTATTTCTGTGCTCTCAAATTCAATTTTACTCTATGATGTGTGTTTCACATTTTGATTACCATGTGGCTTGAAACAGTAAGCTAAGAACAGGAGTACCTAGAGCATGCTTAAGAAAAAGACATCTTACAGAAGTGAGAACTAGTCCTAGGCCTTTTGCATCTGCCCCACAGAATCCAAGTTGCTCTGATCTGCTAGATCATCTGTGCATGGGAAATGGAAAAGAAACTCAAAAAGAAAGGCAATGCTGGAGCCCATTCATACCAAGAAGTATTTTAAAGTGTGAAGGCTATGACTTATGACCCAAGCAACAGTCTTATTGTTCACCAATGTTATAAGAAGATCTGACAAAACTCCCAATGAAGAACTGTACAGAAATAAAAGCACGACCAACAAAAAAATAGAAGGGGTGGAAAAACATATTAAAAGTATTAAGAAAAATACACATCAATTGTCTACTAAATGGTAAGTTATCATAGTGTATAAGTTAAAAAAAAAGAAAAAAGAATAGGAACCACATATTCCATTAAAACACTGATATTTCAATGCATGATTTGATCTTAGTAGCAGAGACAAAAATGAGTTCTCCTAACCAGATGACAGAAGATTTTATTAATTTTTCCTTCAATGAGTCAGAATATCTCTGCCAAGATTAACTTGCAAAAGCAATACTGAGTAAAGCCTTAGAGAAGTTGAAATAACCATAAAACATTAAAAACTATTGTCTTTTCTTTGTAACTACCACTTTGAACGAGTCCAGATAGATGCAAAAAGACAGTTTGTGCCATCGTATTTCAGAATGTAATTCTGAAGACATTCTGCCAGAAAGGTGAGATGAGTTGCTTTTACAACTGGAAACTGTAGACAAACAATTGTATGTGTGCATAAAAAGTTAAAAACATATCCAAAATATTGGCATCTATTTTGACGACATCCAAACTCAAACATAAATATCCTGTTATTCCTGCTCTTTTCCATTTGTTGAGAGCAGCTGACTCCTCACAAGCACTTTGAAAGACTAAACTAGATCTGCTCCTCTGTACAATTACAGGATGCAAAACATCAGGCCACAACTAATACAAATAAAATTTCAACAACAAAGAAGATTCTAACTTGATTAAGAGAGAAGGCAACACTCATTTTCCAAAAGGAAGCCAACTGAATGAGTCAATTATTCTGAGATGCCAAATTTTACTGCTATGTAAATATGCAATTAAAAAAAAAATTATATCTAGTCATTAACACAGTACTTTTCTCATTACTAAAACTGGAATGGTGTGAAGCCAGCTAGTAACAATAAACACATTTTGCATTTCAAGGTTAATGAAACAGTTCTATTCTTACAGCAAACATGACCATGCTGAATTGCTGCCAAAACATTCTTGGGACTAGTGCTCAGAGACCAAATCCTTCAACACTATATAGTATGAGACGAAGGATAAAGGACTACATATGGAAAAACAAATCTATGTGAACATACACTTTGTCTACCACAATTAACACTCACTGTGTGCCTAACACCTGTTATTTACAGCCATGACTATCTCTACAGAAATCTACTTAGTGCTTGTGTTTCTCCCATGTAAAGAAAAAAGAAAATTAAAAGAGTACACCAACAATCCTAATAACAAGTGTAACAACCATAAGCAAACCTGCAACAGACCTTCAACCATAAATAGCAAGGCATAAGAAAGGAACTGTAAGAAAACAAAACAAAAATAAAACCTCCCATGCATCTCCTGGGTTGTTTTTAATTTGGGTTGTAGATAAGGGCTCAGAGGGGAAGCTGGAGAACACCTCTTAGATGATGATGAATATCAAGGGGGTCATGAAGCTGGCCACAACGCTTCTCTCATCCTTTCTATCAAGAGTTCTGCCAAGCCGGACTCACTTTTTCTCCTTGTCAGTCATTTGTAATAATCAGTATTCTCCATAAATGGCAAAAACATATATACGTGTATATACGCTTTATGTGTGTATATACATGTATACTGGTTGAATACCACAGTTTGACAGTAAGATTTTTTTTAAGTCCTAGATGCTTGGAGGTTGTCTATATCACCCTTAACATAGAGTGTAAAAATAGTATATGCTTAAGTCGAACATCTGAAACTATGAACGCTACCTACATTAAATACCCATATCAGGTTTTATTAATTTGTAATTCTTTTCCATAAATGCACAATCATAACGTTACTATGTGTATACGTTATTTCTTGTAGGTAATTTTTTTCTTCTGGAAGAAAAAACTGCAAGAAATAACGTACACACGTAGCAATGTTATGATCACAGAGGAACCAATCCATTTTTTATTCAAAAAAAAAAGAACTGTCATGAATCCCATATATGTCAGTTAGAGTACAACAACGTGATATATGCTCTTGAGGCAAGTGCTGTGCTAATATTTCATTACACAAGTTGTTAGAGGCTTCTTTTAAAATTGAAGCTTGTTCTCTATAAAGTATACTTGAAGTGAACTTAAGTAACATTTAAGTTAACTGAAATCACTAATGCTTTCAGTTGATACATAGCAGAATGTAACATGATTAAAAAGTTGACAAAAACCAAAATCTCCTTGCCCTCAAATCCATACGTAAGCAGGACAACAACTAAGATATCATCAAGCTTTGCCTTCTAAGAGCAGTCTAAGGCAGGCAGGAACTCTTGAGCACGCTGAAGGTGACACCAGCCACCACGCCTGCA